CAGTTCCACATAGTTCTGCATAGTCCCACATAGGTCCACACAATTCCACATATACAGTTCCACACAGTTCCATGTAGTTCCACATAGTTCCATGCAATTCCACATAGTTCCACACAGTTCACATAGTTCTGCATAGTCCCACATAGGTCCACACAATTGCACACAGTTCCACATAGTTCCATGCAGTCCCATGCAGTTCCATGCAGTTCCATGTAGTTCCATGTAATTCCATGTAGTTCCAAGCAATTCCCATAGCTCTGCATAGTTCCACATAGTGACATCCAGTTCCATGCAGCTCCATGCAGTTCCACATAGTTCCATGCAGTTCCATGTAGTTCAACACAGTTCCACATAGTTCCACCAAAGGTGAACCCGTGCACCGTGATTCCCTCGATACTTTCCACAAAGCTTGAACTGACCCCTTGTGCCCTTGCACAAAGCAATGTGCGCTTCGAAGGCGACTAGGTTATCACAACCAAAGAACATGGACAACAAATTCTATAAGCCAACAACAGGTAAAAAAGTTAAAAAAAACCGTAAAACCAATAAAAAGTCTTAAAAACACTAATAAATTCTAAACCAGGCCTGGGGTAACCATCCACATGCAATGCATGCTTCTGCATGTTTCAACTTCACATGCCTTGGAAGATCCCCTTGTCCTCTTGCTTCACACAAGAAGTCTGCTCCAGCCATTCTATAAATCAATCGCCCCCAGACGAGCAGCTTCTGCACGTATGAGCACTTTCAACCTTCCAATATAATATTATAATTACTAAATTACCCCTCTGCCACTCTCTTCGTGTGTGTGCATCTCTGTGTGTGTGTGTGTGTGTGTGTGTGTGTGTGTGTGTGTGTGTGTGTGTGTGTGTGTGAGAGAGAGAGAGAGAGAGAGAGAGAGATATTATGCTCGCATTTGGTCATAGTAAGCAGCCTGCAGCTGCCGGACTCTGGCCAACCATGAGACTGCGCTCTCCCCATCGACAAGCACCCAAGGAACAGCCCCTGCAGCAGGCTGATCCCACCACTCTGTAACCTGCAAAAGAACAGCCCCAAAGCACAAGTCAGCATCGGATGTCAACGCCAACCTTTCCTCCTAACAGAAAATTTGCCCAGAGAATCAAGGAGGTGCCTTTTCCTCTCGCACACCCCGAAAACTTGCACAACTCTTCTCATCATTGCACCGTGGACTCGTCAGGAAGTGCATTTTATGTGGTAGCATACTATCATGGTGGGTTAACCCTTTGTCAGGTCAGCATCCGCTGATATAAAAAAGAGAATTAACATAAGAGACAAGCAAACCAGACAACGGCCTGTGCAACCCCCCCTTCCCCCTTCCCCCCCAGCCCAACTGACGCCCCCAAACAATAACTACCATCTTCCCCCGAACACAACGCACCCTCATTTTGGCTGTACCTGGCTGAAATATAGCTTGCATACAATCACTATCAGGGTGCTTTATGTTCGGCGGAAGACGGTAGTTCTACAGTGTGAAAAATAGGATCATATTCGGAATCTGGTGAGAAATGCCAGCTGCGGAATAGCGTGTCTTTTTTTCTCAGGAAGGCTTCTGGTATTCCTGATGACCTCAACCAGTTCAAACCGGCCTCCGGGAAACCGAGTAGAATGTCGGCGGGTTAGCGGTTGTTGTCGGTGGATCATTGGGTTGTCGAATCGATGGCATGTGGAGAGCAGGCTGTTCTCAATCATTGCTGACATGTCCTGTGTGAATGTGTGGAGTCTTCTGCGAATTGCGTGGGGTCGTCACCTATCTGAATGCGGTAGTCATATTCCTTTTCTCTTATGGCATAAGATCCCAATGAGCATATAGGGGCCTGATAGGTCCTTCGGACCCCCCTCGTTACGATGCTGATGTTGGGCTGACTTGAGCCACGACATGTTTGCGAGTATCGATGGACCATAGGCACAGCTATGGGCATCAGCCATTTTCGTGGACCCCGCCTTCCAGTGAGCGGCTACTAGACGCGTTGCTTTGGGAACATGTTGCTTGGCCGCTTCCACGTCTTCCAAAGAGACCTGGCGATGTACGATCTGTCACAAGGACATTTTCAGGGGTCATAGCTGACGCGGACCTAGTACTTTAGGACCACGAGAACAGAGAAAGGACAGGAGGTATTAAGGCCTGCATCTGTATAACCAACCGGGGCACCTGCGTCACCTTGGTTACCCAGGCCTGGCCGGGCAAGGGCCAGGGCCAAGGAAGGTCCCTGTAAGAAAAAAAGAAAAAAAAAAAAGAAAAAAAAATCCTGAGTGGGGATCCGGGCCGCCCGGGTGACCGTCAGGGGCCCGGGGGAGGTCCCGGGCGGCCTGGCCAGGCAGGGCACCCGGTTGGGGTCCGGCCCCCCCCAGCGCACTCACCTGTCGGGGGATTTCGGACCCCCTTTCGGACCCCCTTTGTGTGTGTGTGTGTGTGTGTGTGTGTGTGTGTGTGTGTGTGTGAGAGAGAGAGAGAGAGAGGGA